AATGGAGTCATCCAGCCCATGATTACATAAGTTTGCCCATCCAAAAGAAGACTCTTTATGTCGTATCTGTAGGCCACCTGACATTATCTATGGTTTTATAAAGGGCATGAAAATAGTATATATAGGACCATATAGGACTTCCATATAGGACTTACTCTTTGCCAACACACACACACACACACACACACACACACAAGGGGGGGTTGTATATAATCAATTTACTCCTCCTAAAAACTCTCTAATGTGGTTACCATGGCCATCTCCATTTTACAGATTAGAAAACTGAGGTTCAGCTAGCTTAAATAAATTCTCCAACGTGTTTCAGCAGTGAAGCTAACCTTGAACCCTGGCCACCTGGCTCCAGATTGTCTTTCTTTGACCTCCTTAAGGCTTGTTTTTGACATAATGGAATGTAGAGCAGCAGGAGTCAAAGAGAGGCATTAAGGGGGGAGCAGCATTGTGTTCCAAAAGGAGCTGGCAATAAATACAGTGGATTGGCTGACTGATAAGGATGGAATGGGGTTTGGAAAACTGCATACTCTCATGAAGCAAACATGCAATTGTGTCCTTTCAAAAGTGACAGAAACTATTCAAACCATCCCATTTTTCTTCTCTCCCATTTCAACATTTACTCTAGACTGTGTTGTCCTGGCAGAATCTTCCTTAAAATTGGCTATGGCATTTCAAGGTCTGTGTAAATGCTTAGACACAGACACCCTGGGAAAAAGTGACATAGTTACCTTTGGGCACATTAAAAAGATGGTTTTGCTAATTGTAAGGCTTATAGCATCTTACATTGGCACTCTTCACCCCTTTTTTTCAGATATAAGTATTCATGTCTAGAATAATTAAGTAGAATTTGCTAGAAGTCACTGGATTGAACTATTTAATATTATCTACAAGAGCCAAACCAAACTTCCTAAGGATGAGTATATTCCCCTGGCCTGGATGCCATGTCCATTACACAAACTAGAGTGGTTCCTGGGCAACAGCAGAGAAGCACTCAGAAGCCTCTTAGAATTGTGTAGTCTCAGACTTCACTGCAGATCTGCTATACCAGAATCTTTACTTTGTCCAACTGTCAGGCAATCCACATAAATATTAAAGTCAAATGCATTGTAGTAGTCACCAAATCCATTTTCCAGAAAGTTTACCTATAGCAGGAAAAGTTGTTGGTGTTAAGTAGATCTTTTGTAAGGTATATTCTTCATATCACTTTGTAATCTAACTTAAAATTATCTTCTTTTTTAATTTTAACTTTGTATATGTGTGGGTGCATGTGGACATGTGCATGTAAGAGCATGTGCCCTCGGAGACCAGAAGAGGGCACCTGATCCCCTGGAGCTAGAGTTACAGGCAGTTATGAACCACCTGATGTGAGTACTGGGAACCAAACATAGTTGCTCTGTAACAGCAGTTCACTGAGCCATCTCTCTAGCCCCAAATAATGTTTCTGATGCGAAACTATCTTTAGTGCCTCTTTATGGTAGCTCTAGATCACTTCAGACTGAATTATTCATTGGTGAGAGGATGTCCAGTGCTGTGATGTGCAAAACTCGGTCCCTTAGCAGACCCACAAAGAAATAGCCAATAGTCCTCATTTCTGCAATGACTCTCCCTGGTGACCGTGCTTCAAAGCAGATTAACTGCCTTTTCCAAATTGCAAAACAATCTCTTTAGCATTGGTGACATACATAAATCTCCACCCCATTTCTACCCAAGTAGACATAAAACAATCAATACAATGTCAACAGCTACCACCTATGTAGTGTTTACAAAACTGAGTCAAAGAGAAATCAAGCCATTTCCTTAACACCACGCAGCCCACACAGCTAGTGCATGATGGGCACCTCGCTGCCTGCTCTGCCTGTCTCCAGAGTCTCCAGAGTCCACTGTGGGGCCATGGATCCATAGTGCTTCTAGAAACTCAAGGCTGCTCAAGGTTCCAATGGGACCTCATTAAAATGCCCTCAAAATAAAGACTAATCATTTACTTCGGAAAATACAATTTGCTTCAGAAATTTTACTCAACAAAATGAAATAAGTGAGGCCAGCAGCTACCAAGACATCATTTCACAAAGTTAAAACTTTACTCCTGGCCTCTAAGCCTTGGTTGCAATTGCAACATCACATGGTCTGCTAGGCATGCTTTAAAATGCCTATAGCTGGAACTGACTCCAACCTCAAAAGTTCCTTGTGTTTTCTATAAATGAAACACCATTGCAAACTCTATGAATTTATGATATTGCAGGCTTTGCTTATTTATTAAATCACCAGTTTGATTTCTCCTTTTCGCTCCAGACAGACAAATTGTTTGGGGATAGAGGGTTAGATAGGGTCTCACTATGTATCCCAGACTGGTCTCAAACTCAAGATCCTCCTGTGCCAGCCTACTCAGTGCTGGGATTACAGTTGCATGTCGTCACACCTGTATTCTAAATGGAATCTCCCAGACAATTCTAATAGACTCAACCAAGGTCTTGTGCTTTGGTTGAAGTGGAGAGGGAGCCTCCTACCCTTCAACATCCACCTCAGTGTCCCTTGAATGCATGCCTCTAGAACTTGAGAGTCCTGGAAACAGGTAACAGAAAAAATACACAGTGAGAAGGGTTGGCAGTTTCACTTGTGTGCTTGTCTGGGGCACCTTAGTGATGTTCCCTGGCCTTTCGTCAAAAGACCTCACAAGGTCTTAACTCTCCTCGGCAGAATGCAGGTGGGGAAACTTCAAAAAAGCTGAAAAGGGAAGGCTCCATGTTTGATGAATAGAAACAAATCAGTCACAGAAACACAAAGAAAGACCATTTCCAAGCACACCACAGGATGGTGAACAGTAGTCACATGTGCTTAACTGTGAGCAAACACTGCTTTTTATTTTTTCCTTCGATTATTTCTGTATGCACCTGAGGCACAAATAAAAGCAAACATATACTGATGTGTGTTTTAAATCTAGAACTGTTGTTTCAATGAAGGCTAAAGAAAAAATAGTGAGTCCCAGGCTACAATCCAAGCCCACCTGATAATTATGCAATGTGTGTCGTTGAGTGATTATTATTCAATAGCCACTGACAAGCCATTATTCTCACACATACATAAAATAATGAAAATTTACCAAATGCCATAGTAAGCTCTAATCATCAACTTGACACAGCCTAGTGTCATCCAAGAAGGGAAGCTCAACTGAGGAATCGCCTGGATCCCATTGGTCCATAGGCATGTATGTGGGAGATCGTCTTGATTGTTAATTGATAAAGTAGGGCAGCCCACCGTAGCCAGCACCATTCTCTGGAAAGGTGGTCCTGTGCTGTGCAAAGAAGCTAGCTAAGCATGACCCAGAGGAAGCCAGCAAACAGTGTTCCTCCACAGTCTTTGCATTAGGTTCCTGCTTGATTTCCTTCCCTTATTTCCCTCAGTGATGAACTGTGACCTGTGAATGGAAATAAACCCTTTCTTTCTTTAAGTTGCTTTTGGTCAGAGTGTCTTTACCACAGCAACAGAGAGGAAACTAGAACACTTAAGGTACTAGTTAAAATAGTCTCAAATGCTAGTTGCTCACTGGGAGAATAGCAAAGTACTTTACAATATTCTGATGTTCTCATTGTCAGGTGCCACGTCTCCAGGCCCCTTAACAGATTCCCTTGGCTACTTTTACCCTCCACTCAAGAATCAAAGGCCAAATGAATGACTGTTCGATGAGGGAGCATGAAAACCCTACTATCTTGCCTGTGACATGCTGATCCTGAAGAGTCCCCAATGGAGTCTGGTTAAAGCCTCTCTTCGGATCTATGCCCGAGACAGTGACACTGCTTAGCATCCTTCCTACTTCATCCAGGTTCTCTTTACTGTTTCCCTAGGAGCACTTCCTTTAAAACCTTGTGCACAGGAATCTGCATCTCAGGGTCAGCTTCTAGGCACCCCACCTACTAGGTTCTGGTGACCAAGCTCACCATTACCACAGATTGGCTGCTGTGTGGCTCCTTAGCCCTCCCAGAAAATTGTTCCAGTGGGCAATTACTATAATACTTGTCATACCTACTTCATAAATTGATTTTTATTTCATTAAAAAGTAAGACCCTAACCCAAACAGTAATTAAGTAAGACCCAAACCCAAGTCTCAGTTAAGTCTCAGTTAAAATATACAAAGCATGTCCCGTATAAGTTAAATGAACAGTGAATTTTGATTTATTCTTTAAGATTTTATTTTTTAGCTGGGCGGTGGTAGTGCATGCCTTTAATCCCAGCACTTGGGAGGCAGAAGCAGGCGGATCTCTGTGAGTTTGAAGCCAGCCTGGTCTACAGAGTGAGGTCCAGGAAAGCCAGGGCTGTTATACAGAGAAACCCTGTCTTGAAAAACTCAAAAAAAATTATTTTTTTATATATGTGTATGTCTGCATGTATGAGTGGGTACCCATGAAGGCCAGAAGAGGGGGTCAGAACCTCTGGGGCTGGAGCTATAAGTGGTTGTGTTTCAATGTAGGTGCTGAGAACCAGACCCAGGTCCTCTGCAAGGGCAGTAAGTACTCTTAACTGCTGAGCCATCTCTCCAGTCCCAATAGCTAATTTTGTCTTAAAACCCTGTAATGTTGCCCATGTGCTTTCCTTGCTTACTAAGTGGGGCATAAATTATTTGCATGAATCTGGGGTGACACTGATCCTGGTTTTTGGTTGCGTCATGAAAGCAATGACTTTGCAGGATTAGAGTGGACTTAAAAATAATAGGAATTACAGTAAATCTGCACATGCATTAAGATACACCTAGAAAACTGCTTTTCAATCAAACTCTTCATATGAGCATAGTTTCTTGCACGTATTCCAACTCTATAAGTTTACACACAGCAAACCATTTCTGGGTTCCCTTACGTTTCTCTTATCCTGATATCTATGAAGCAAGTCATCCACTGGGACACATACTATGATAAACTGAGAGCTGACAATAAAGCTAGAGTCTCCCTGATGTCACCATACATCTCATGTTTCAGAGACACACAATAGGCATGACTTACCTTTATCCCCAAGGCTTCTCCTGAAATGACAGCGACTGTCACACCATCCTTGGTGGGTTTTGGGATCTCTTCACTTTTCAGTTCCTGGTACTGAGGCTCCACCATCTTTTCTGAGCGTCTCAGATTCACCCACAGCTGTAAGCCATGGGCTGGCTCCTCTGAGCAGGGCATCTCAGCATGCAGAATGCCCCGGCCTGCAGTCATCCACTGCAAAACACCAGAACAAGAGGCTAAATGTAACGCAGCCCCTAACAAGTCTGTGCATGCAACAATTACAATGCTGTGGTACATCCAACAGGAGCTGCAGTCAGAGTGCCTGGGCATCTTAAGAAATAACCAATGTCTATGACAGTTCCTGGGGCTCTTTCCCGTTTCCAAAGCCTTCCTCATTTTTGAATGAAAGCATCAGAACTGAAAAGAATCCTTTCTGTGATGATCGAGTTTCATGTTGAGCTCCAAGATAAGGAGTTGCAGCCAGATAGTACTGGGGTATGATTTGACTTAAGAAGGGTAAGAAACAATACTGGGCAAGGAAGATGGCAGTCAGCAATGCAGTTGCATTACAGGCCTAGCCAACCCAACAGGGAGATGTGCAGTTGGGCTAAATCTTAAGGATGGTCCTGAAATCAGCAAAGAGTTATCATAGGATTGCTCCTGAGTAGGAAGCACAGCCTTGGGAAAGTCAATTTCCTGCCACAGAGTACAGTTCCCAGGGAAGAATGTAGCAATGAGCCATCAATGGATAGCATGCCCATCAGCTGAAGTGAAGTGTGATCCTAATTAGTGTTACCAATAAAAACCAGGTAGTCAGATAACGGGGTAAAAGCTGAAAAATCGGAGAAGCAAAGGAGCAACCACAGTCACTTCTTACCTCTCCAAATCCTCTGACCAAAAGGGCTGAGATCCTGTCTCCACCCCGCCTTATCACTTCCTGTCTCTGCCCAGCCTTATTGCTTCTGGTCTCCTGTCTGTACAGCTCTCCAGACCTCTCTATGGTTAATGGTTAACTAGTGGCTAGTTCCACCCTCTGATATCCAGGCAAGCTTTATTTGTCAGAACACAAACAAAATATCACACAACACTGTAGAATATATAAGTGAGATTAAATAGACATGGGAAAGCCCTCAGCATCCACTACCCTGGAAATGGCAAGCTTGTACAATGGTGTATAATTACAGTAATGGAGCCCTTACTACTGAGAGAAACAGTTGTCTCTGGCTGTTGGGCAGATTTTTCAAGTGTTTGTTTACATGTTTGAGAACATACAGGAGGCCTCCTCTAGGCACTAGCCTCAGACTCTGAGGATGCAGGGTTAGAACATGATACATCCATTTCCTGCTTGTCTTAGTTTGGACTCACCCAGAGAAGACACTGAAACAAGGACCTACATGCAGGTTGTTTATTTGAAAGGTGATACAGAAAGCAAACCGGAGGGAGTAGGGAAGGGTGAGACGGGCAAAGGAGAAAGCCAAAGAGGAGTGTTGATGAGCAAGCCCCAGCTGTGGAGGCCTGGGACTTAGTCCTACTGGGAATCCTTTAGATAAACTTCAGAATTATTGCACAGAAGACAGAAAACACTAAGGCATTTAGATTACATTTGGCATCCCTCAGTGACCAGGAGCCTCTGAGAGAGGCCCAATGCATGCACTTCAGATGGGGTGCTATGTATGGATATATGAGAACTGTCACCATCTAAACTCAGAAGCAGGCCATCAGCATCATCTCCCACCCAGCCCTTGGAGAGAAAAAAAATCCTTAAAGACAACCGCTCAAAATAATCATTGCCATTATCTCTGTGCTTGGTTGGTAAGGTGAAGAAGGACAGTTCTACCAGAGTACATGTAGTGGCTCAAGTTGCCTTGGCTCTACCATCAGGCTGAAACCCAGAGTAAGCATGGACTAGTGGAAAGAAACAGGAGGAGTCCAGAGAAAGGAAACAGCAGCATGAGAAAGAGAGTCTGAGACAAGTATGAGAACCTGAAAGAAAACTACTACATGTTTTGGAGATTTTTTTTCTTCACTAAGTCTAAACACATTTCTCTCTACTCTGTTGGATAATGCTGATAGAACCTTCTAGTGGAGAGATCCACTATTTTTCTGTCTGACAACAGCTATTGGTGTTCCTCAAAGATCTCTTTCTATTTTCCTCCTCCACTAAAAATTCCTCTCTTGGTATTTTTATTTATTTTATTTATTCTTTGACAATTTTTTGCATGTATACAATGTATCATAACAATAGCCAACTCAAACCCCCCTCCCATAGTTTCAATCTCTTGATTAACTTTTTAGATAAAACATAGCTTGGTAATAATTAAAACAGCCCACTCACTGGGTTTGGATGAGGACAACATGGTTCTCTTTCCATCCCCATCACTTACTAACTCTGAGGCTTTTCAAATAACTCTAGTACCCTTTCACTTTTAAATACCTTTAAATCCCTATTCTCTCATTTAAAACTGGGATGCAAAATGCTAATGATCTCAAAGAGCTCATGGAAATGGAAAGGTTGAATAAGCTGAAAGATGCTATGCCATTATTATCCTAAGCAAATGAGAAGTCTATTGTTACTGTGGTTGCTTTGAGATAGGATCTCATTATGTAACTCAGGCTGGCCTTAAACTCTTGATCCCTCCAAATTCTGGTATTATAGACATAAACTGCCATGCCCTGGTCCCAGCTATGAAATTGTAACGGTCTAAGTGTGGACCAGCATCTACAGAGGCAGCCTGATGAGGTGAACAGCAGAAGTCACCAATTCCATGAGCAGGACATGCCCTGGGGTTCTTATCTGTCTACCACTCTGAGCAAACTCTGTTTTATGTTCTGCTCTAGTGGGAGGTTCCTTTTTCTTTTGTGATAGCATTTTCCTTTTGCTTTTGTTTTTTATTTCATTTTCACTGAAACATCATGATCCAACATGTATACTTTGCATCCCACAAAATATGTAAATGGTCTCATATAGAGCTCCTACCAACACAACTGACCAAAATGGTCTAAGCAGTTTCAGGGGGGTTAAATTATACCATCACAAACAAAAGTAATATGACACACAGATTGAGTTATTATCTCTTATTTTCTTTTTTGAGATAGGCTCTTACTATGTAACCTGGCTACCCTGAAACGCACTCTGTAGACCAGGCTGGTTTTGAGCTTGCAGAGGTCTACTTATCTCTGCCTCCTGAGTGCTGGGCTTAGAGGTGAGAGCCACCTTGCCTGACCTTGGGTTACTAACTTAAGTGACAATACTGAACCATGCAAATGAATCGAAACATAAATAATGAAGTGTCACAAGTGCAGAACGTAAGTCTAGAAAGACCGAAATGAAATGGTCTTCAAGTGCTGAGTTTGGGAGTAGGGACATCATAAATGATCACTACTCGAAGAGCTTCAATACAGGTTGAAGGGAAGGATGGAGACAGACCAACTGTGGCTTCAGTGAATTGAGGAAGGAATGGCAATTGGGACAGTCACTCTTGATTACACTTTAAGAAAAGTAAAAACAAACAAAACGATGACAACAGAACCACTGGGTAAGCACTAAGAAGTGATTCGCGATATCCAAAACTGAACTGGCTCAGCAGGTCAAGGCACTTGCTGCCAAGCCTGACCACCGGAGTTCGATCCTGGGGACCCACTTGGTAGAAGGAGAGAACCGACTCCCACAAGTTGTCCTCTGAGGGCTATACATGTGTCACGGCATGTGCTTGCATACACATACGAATAAACAAATAAGTGAAATGAAATATCGTAAAGATTGCATCTGATCCCCAGCACCACAAGAAACAGTGATTGAGGGATCAAGGAAAACATGAGAACAGAATACCGGAGATCTGTGTTGGTTTCCCGGCAGCAGAGAAGAATACCCCCAAAGGGGGGTATGATGGCTAGTGTTCTCAGCTTGATAGAATCGGGAATCACCTGGGAGATGGGCCTCTGCGCATGCCTGTGGAGATTATTTTGATGTGTTAACTGATTAGTAATACCATCTTTACTGAGCCAGGGCTATTTTTTGGGGGGGGGCAGGGGATTCTGAACTGTATGGAATGGAGAGAGTGAGCTGAGCACTAGCATGCATCCATTGCTCTCTGATTCTGGTTATGGATGTGATATGAGCAGCTGCTTCAAGCTCCAGGAGCCTTGACTTTCCTGCCATGATGGACTATACCTTTGTTATGTAGCTAGACTGGCATTAGAACCCTGAAAGTAAAACACTGAAGAGGGATTCCTCCCTCATGGTCAGCTTTGGCTCCCAAACACTGTTTTCCCTGGTAATACTCCTGAAAGAAAAGTATCAGTTTTGTCCCTTCCTAAAATTTAAAATACTATATGACAAGGGGGAGGAATCAGGGTTTTGTTGAAGTCCTTTAAGGGAAAGCGACTTCGTCCCATCAAAAGAATGGTATCTGAGTTTACCCTGGCCTTGATAGAGATATGGCATTCTAATTGTCCTTAAAGATTGGAACATTACATACTGCTTTTCCTTCCTTAAGAATTAATCCAGCAAGACAGTTGTGTAGCTTGATCTGCTTAAGGGCCCCCCTGGCAATAGGATTGGGATCCATCCCTGGTGCATGAGCTGGTTTTTTGGAGCCTGCTACCTATGGTGGGACACCTTGCACAGCCTTGAGGCAGCGGGAGGGGCTTGGACGTGCCTCTACTGAATGTACCAGGCTCTACTGACTCCCCATGGGAGGCCTTGCCTTGTTGGAGGAGGGAATGGGGGTGGGTTGGGGGGGAAGGTGAGAGGGGCAGAAGGAGGGAGGACAGGGGGAATCTGTGATTGGTGTGTAAAATGTATTTAAAAAATTCCTTAAAAAAAAAAAGAAAAAATAAACAGATTTAAAAAAAAAAGAATCCAATTGGACCTGTCAGTCATGTAGCCACAAGACCATCCCTCAAGAAAGCTAATTCACCAGAAGACAGGCTAAGGAGGTGGAAGGAATAATTATCCCCTTAATGAGATGATGCACTTATACACCACAGAAGCCCCTCCCTCAGTAAAATGCTTACAGATCATCACTCCTGAGCTCGCCTACTTTCTGAATTCTAACTCAGAAAAATGTAACTTCCTTTCTTTCCTTCTATCTCTTTTTCAGATACTGACCAAAAGCCTAAGCATGCTTTCCCTGATACTCTGGACTTTCTCACTCTGTCTCTGAAGTGCCTCTCCCCTTCCAACATGCAGCTGCTTGCCAACATGCTGAGCTTTCTTAGACCCCAACTCAAAAAGACACGACTTTCTCTCAGTTTCTCCATCCGCATCTTGCTGACAGCGGCTGAGTTTCACAGCTTGCCTGCTCGGTTGTTTTTCCCTCAAATGCTAATAAACTGTCTCAAGCTTCCATCTGAGTCTGTTTTTTTTTTTTTTTTAATTCTTTATCAATGAGACTGAAAACCAACAAGAGAGATCCCTGTTTTCCCTGGTAACACTATGAACTGTGAACTGAAAACGACTCTTTCTCCTTTAAGGTGTTTTTGTTGGGGTATTCTGTCATAGCAACAGAACAGAAACGAAGACAGGAGAGATCAAGGTATGAGTAGGAGAGAAGTGGGAGGGATGGTTATTGTACCGGAAACAGGCAAGATCAAACATACACCATCTAAGACTGCTAACCAATGAGCAAGCCCCTGCCATGGCCATACCTGTAGGTCTCCTGGGTTCATTTTACCAACATGCCCGCAGAAGTCTTCATGGGCCATGCTGCCCCCTTCCAGAAGGTAAGATACCTTTTTAAGAAACAGAAGAAAAAGTTGATCCTTTGACTATTGTAAAATCATGTTGTTTGGGATCTCTACTATTGACTTGCATCAGTTCCATATTTATTTTAGATATAAACACTACCTTCATTTGTAAAACATTTTTCTTATTTCAAGCTGCTTTTCCATTAAAATAATGGACAAAGGATATGAATAGATATTTTTCCAAAGAAAAAATGCAAATGGCTGGCGGGAATGGGAAGAAATGCTCACCATTACTAATCAGAGAAATGCAAATCAAAACGACGATGTGACATCACCTCACACCTGTTAGGTACATACTCTCCAAGTCAAAACACGAGGTATTATAAAAAAGAATATGGGAAAGGGGAGCCCTTATATACTGTTCGTGGGAAGTAAACTGGTCTAGACACCATAGAAAACAGGATGACAGTTATTTTTAAAAACTAAAAATAGAATTACCACATGATCCCACTCTCTCAATCCTTGCTATATACCAAAACCAAATGAATTCATCATAGGAAACACATAGCAACACACTGATGTTTACTGTAGTACTTACTATTCATAATAGCCACAATATGGAATTAGTTCAGGTGTCCAACAACAAATGAAGGGATAATGTAAATGCGACACACATATACAAAGTGCAGAATGATCCAGAGCCTTACAAGGGGAAGATAGCCTGCTATTGTTTACAGTATAGATAAAGCTAGAAGACATTACATAAGTGAAATAAGACAAACACAAAAAGACAAGGACCTGCATGATCTCACTTATAGAAACTGAGATTAAAGGGTTAGTTACTAGGATTTGGAATGGAAGAAATACAGAAATGTAGGTCCGAGGCCCACAGTTATGTGATAAATAAGTTCTTGGGGACCAATGCACAGTATGTGACTAGAATTAGTAATACTGCACTTGATACTATGGGGGTGGAGAGATGGCTCAGTTGGTAAAGTGTTCTATGACATCCCAAGGACTTGAGTTTGATCCTCAGAACCCACCCAAAACAACCAGGCATGGCAGATACTTGTAAGCCCAGTGCTGGGGAGGTAAAGATAGACAGATCCCTGGGGTTCACTGGCCAGCCAGCCTAGCCTACTTGGCAAGCTCCAAGCCAGTGAGAGACTGTGTCTTTAGAAAAGGCAGACAGTTCCTGAAGAACTACATACCCAAGGCTGGCTTCTGACCTCTCCTCACAAACAGAAATATGTACATACATAAATACACACATGATAACCTTGTGAGATGATAATCATTCCACAATACATGCATGCATCAAAACACTACAATATATGCATGCATCAAAACATTGCAGTGTATAGAATTGTCGCATTATATCTTAATAAAGCATGGAGGAGCGAAGGATTGAGTATTTGTGAAGATCTGCTCACTTTTTCCACCAAAGACTTATTGTTAGGAGAATTAAGACAGGAGAGCAACTTGAAAGAATGAATCTGTGACAAGGGGTCAGACTATCCACACCACGCAATGTCTTTAAGGGAATTTCACTATGTCCCATTCTCCAAGGAATGCCAGAGCTCAGAGCTAATTAAAATAACACTCGCCCTGAAGGTCCAGTAAAGTACATGATGTGTCTCCCACAGCCAGGCCTGAAGCTCAGGTTAAAACAAGCCTGTTCTTGGACTCACAGGGTCTCTGCTAGCAAGGCCATGTTCACACAAGTGTAGAGAGTAACATATCTCAGGTCACCACACCTTGCTCTAAAGGTGAGTCAGGAAGCCCAAAGGAAACATTTCTGACATCAGGTACACAGACTCAGTAGGTACTCAACACTGTTTAGGACATATGTTAAGTAGTTTGAAATTGAAGTCAGCATTCCCAGGTTCGTGTCCATACTAAATCTAAAACAGAAAAGAAATGCTATGGGTCCCCAAGAATGGCCACTAGGCACATGCAGCTCCTTAAGTTTCACTTAAATCAAATTAATAAAATTTAAATTCAGCTCCTCAGCTTCACTGACCACATTTTGAGTGCTCAATAGCCTCCTGTAGCTAATGGCTGCCATCACCAATAGTTTATATTATAAAACATTTCTATCCTCACCAAGTTCTACTTGCCACTCTGATCTAGACAAATGAATTTAAAAATTAGATTTCAGCAATAATGGGCATTTTATATAGAGTAGAAAACCTCCCAGTCCAGAAGCATTCTAATTGGCCTCTCTTACTTCTATTTAATCAAAAGAAAAAAATGAACTCTAAAATTCCCCTCTTTAAGGGTCTTGTAATCAAATCAGAGAAAAAAAGACTAAAGAGAAACCAAATACTTGGAACATTTAATTACTTCAAAGACATCGTCGTATTGTTACAGGAAACACTCAAGTTAGTATCTGAGGCTTAAAATATGTGGGGGTCAAGATACAAGGCTCTCTTTGTATGATTTATTTAAATTAGTTAATTTGTACACACCTATATCTCCTGAAAGAATTACCATTCAGCTTAAGCCGTTGTGAAAGACATGTAAATGGTTCTCTGAAAACTACCCACTTCAGGCTTAGCGGTAACAGCTGTGCACATTCTCATAACTGGATGCATTCTTCATACTTCAGCTACCTCTGTATTTTCTTTAAACCTCAATGTGATTATCCTTTTTAATCTTGAAAATTTTACTTCAAATTGTCATTAACCATTATTATTATATGAGTGAACCAGAAGAATGAAATCTCTGATTAAAACTCCAATATCTACTGTTGGGACTTTAATTTTCACTGAAATATACTAAACCAAATAAAAGAGGATTTTTTAATTTAAAAAATTATTTTTAAAAATTAGTACTTAATAATTAATTATCCTTTCTACCAACCCCCTAAAACAACAACTTTTACCAACTCTCTAAATCCTAACTCTGTAAAACCACAAAAAGAAAAATAATGAAAATATTGTATTTTTTAAAAGAAAGCCAAAACACATTGTCAAGAGGTACGAAATGAGAAAATATTTATGAAGTTTTCAGTAGCTATCAGGTACTGCATCATCATCATCATCATTACTATGTGTGTGAGGATGTTTTGCCTGGATGCATGTCTGTGCACCATGTGCATGCTTGGGTGCTCTGGGAGGCCTGAAGAGAGCATAAGACCCCTTAGAACTGGAGTTGTGGCAGTTGAGAGCCACCACGTGGGTGCTGGGACACCTTAAAGGTGATGACACAATTCTATGGGGTACGGTTCATGACTGAATATTTAGAAGAAAGAGATATGAGCAGCAGCATTCATCTCTCCCTGCTGCTTGACTTGATGCAGTGTGACTGCCACCTCAAGCTCCTGCCTCCACGCCTTCCCCACCATGATGGACTATACCGTAAGCTCCAACTGTGAGCAAATAAACCCTTCTTTCTTTGGGTTGCTTTTATTGGGTACTATGTCATAGCAATGAGAAAAGATGGGGAAGTGCCAGGGGGAACTGGTGACAGTGGGCAAGAAGGGTCTTCCATGAAGACTCAGAGGCTAATAAGGGAGAAAAACTTCAAGAACGGGAAACCGTTTCAAAGATCTAAGAAACAGAACCAAGAATGACAGTATACTGAGTTTATCCACAAACTTGCCTCCTATTGTCATAGCTTGACTAATCCTCTGACCATTGTTCCATCAGCCACAGCTTATTAAATCTCAAGATAAAGCTTCAGGAGAACCTGTGCTCCCCCTTTGGTATTTCCTCTTACATGGAGGGTATTCCGTTAATGTTAGCATGCCCCTGCCTCTTGAGGCATGCTTCCTAGTGGGATGAGCTTGCAAGACAAAACTGGGTGGGCCCTTTCCTTTTCCCTTCCTCTTAAGAATCAGTTTTCACATAGAAAGCAGGACCTTCTTTGATGATTCAACTCTATGACAGGGACCTTCATGAGCAGCATGCAGAAGCCAACCTGCCTAGAGATACAGGCCACTGGCTCCAACGTTAACTTTATCACAAATACAGACATTTGGGGCCTCCATCTTTCTTACTCTTCCATCTTCTCACATGGTTGACAGTTGAAGCTGGGCAATAGCCACCCTTTATTACATCTCCTCATAACCTCAAATGAGGGCACTAACAGACCTGTTATTGCCATGTTATTGAGGTTTTATACTGTGCCATATAATATGCCCTCCTCTACTTAAGCAATCGGTATTGGGTGTCAGTTCTTTTTGATTTCTGTATTTGTGTGTGTGTTGAGGGGTGGGGGTGGTGGTTGGGGTTGATGGTGTGTGTGTCTGTGCATACAGGCACATGTGCTTTCATTAGCATACAAATGAACAGGTTTCCTCGGGCCATGTTCATACTGCTTTGTTTTGGTATATTCTTTCCTTCACTTCTCTCCAGATCTTCCTGTTCTGCCTCCCTACTCATATGCAGGGAGTACTCCCAGTTCTCCATTTTCCACCTGCATGCCACATACTAGCAGGGGAAAAAATGAGAACAATGTAAAATGACACATATGTAGGAAGATGGCATGATGAATCCCTTACTTTGCATGCTAACCTAAAAAGTGAATTAAACAAAAAGTATCTAATGTATAAGAATTAAATGTATGTATGGAAGAAACAGCAGGTTAAATAATAATTATATTTTACACTTGATCTGAGCCAAAATGCCCAGAAGTGATAATAATTCTATTTTAAAGTTGTCAAATACAACAGTACACATAAATTCATCGTATGAAATTTCATTCTGTGATTATCAGTCTACATAGAAACGCCTGTACAGAAAATGTCAATGGTGGCCATCTGAAGATGGTAAATGCAGGCATGTTTTATTATTTTCGTTCCCCTGTTGTGATAGTTTGACTTTTCTATAATGAATAATTTCTCTTTTTCCCCCCCAACAGAAACATGTATTCTTATTCTGAAAACCAGAGTGCCTCTTCCAAACAGTAAAAATGAGTGTTATGGATTAGTCTTTATAGATTTGTTCCCCAGCTAAATGGGCAGGGCTGGGCAGGAAGGCAACAATAAGCATGATTATTCCACATTTCATGTGAGGACAGTGTAGCGCAGACTTTTTCAT